GAGACCGTGCTGAGAAGCTTAAGCTACGTTCGTTATCCTACCGATAATTTAGGATTGTCCTTAGACGAAACAGTGTGCCACTTACCATACACAGTGCTTCGAGCTGTAGAAATCAGAAGGGGCCGGTTCGTAGACCCCCCTCACCCTTCCCATCCTATGAGCGCCCAGCGCAGTAATGCTTGTAGTGAAGCGCTAAGAAGGTTAACACTTCAATTCGCTTAAGTGCATCCCGTCCACGTTAGTAGTTACTGTATCGTTGGTTAAGGCCACGACACCACAGTGTTGCGGGTTTGCCTACTCCAGAGGTAGGATGGGCGGGCGGGGAAGTTAGCTAAGCTGGTGAGGGTGCTCTAAGTACTGTTATATTATAGATGCTGTCTGAAGTTGTCTCAGCACAGTCAACATTGCCTTCATATGGTGGAAGAAAGCAATATTAAGAGATAAAGTAAACGTAGAAAACAACAATTTGGGAAAGTTTTGTTCACTGCACTAGAAAATACAAAGGGTGTGGTGGTTAAAGTAACGCTGGTCTCTGAGGGAGCACTAGCACTGTGTGTTGTTTGTCACTTACCCAGTCTGGTAGTGGGGTGTTTTCCTGCACTCTACTTGCAAGGGTCATTGCACTGGTTTATTGTTGCACGTTCTGGCGGCCGTTATGCAAATATTAATCGTTGAATGTGTTCGAATGGTGTACAAAATTGCAATTATGTTTTGTTGACAAATAAAGAAATTATGCAAGTACAGAAATTGTGTGTGTGTGTGTGTGCGCGCGCGCGCGTTTTCCCCTCCTTACAACCTACTGACCAAGTTGGGTCTTCCCTTTTGTTGTTGCAGCAGCCGCGACGCACTCAACATGAGCGTCATCATACGACTTCAGAACCTGCCATGGTCGGCCAACTCGGTCGACATCCGCCAGTTCTTCCACGGCCTCTCCATCCCGGAGGGAGGCGTCCACATCGTGGGCGGCGACCGCGGCGACGCCTTCATCGCCTTCACGTGAGTGTCGTGCTGTCGGGCTCTGCGCCCTGTGAGTGTCTTGAACACTGAAAGACACCGTCGTTTGTTCGCATATATTTTGTAATATTTACAAAATATGTTGTAAATTTGTGAAACCTCAACCTTGCTTGTAGATAAATTCCAAGTCAATATATTGTGCTTGTAATTTTACAATTTTTTGAATTTCAATTTCACGATAGTACAACTATTTTGTGTTTTTGTGTTTTTGTTTTTTTTACAATGAACTAATAGCTTCTCTCTTACTCTTCTCCCTGCAGTACGGATGAGGACGCCCGTCTCGCCATGATGAAGGACGGCGGCATGATCAAGAACGACAAGGTGCGCCTGCTGCTGTCGTCGCGGACGCAGATGCACCAGGTGATCGAGGACGCGCGCAACCAGGCGCAGCGCATGGCGACGCACGTGCCCACCCCTGTGCCCGCGCCCGTGCCCGCCCCCGTCCCCGCGCCCGTGCCCGCCCCCGTGCCGCCGCCCAGGCAGGGCGCCGACGTCAACGTCAACGTAAACGAGACCCTGGCCAACATCATGCAGACATTGACGCAGGCCGGTATGGGCAACATGCTCCACAACATCCCGGGCCTGGCCAACCTCGCTCCGCTGATGCAGCAGGGACTCGCCAAACCGCCGGCACTGCAGCAGCCCCCGCATCACGTGCAGCACCCGCTGCACCTGCAGCAGCAGGTCCAACAACAGATGCAGCAGTTACAACAACAACAACAACAGCAACAGCAGCAAATGCAGCAACAGCAGCAGATGCAGCAACAGCAGCAAATGCAGGCATCTACCCAGGGTGTTTCCGAGGACACGGACGCACGGCTTGACGGCGGGCGCAGGGACAGGAGGGGCAGGTCTCGCTCCAGGGACAGGCGGGGCGGACCGCGCAGCCGCGACAGGAGCCGCGAGCGCAGCCGGGACCGAGGCCGCAGCAGGGACAGCAGGAGCCGCGAGCGCAGCCGGGACCGCGGCCGCGGGCGAAGGCGCAGCAGGGACAGGAGCCACGAGCGCAGCCGGGACAGGCGGCGCCTCTCCAAGGACAGCGGGCCGGCCAAGCCCAAGGACGTGAAACCGCCCAACCAGCCGCTGCTCAAGACACCTGAGATGGGGCCTGACGGCAACTGGACGTCAAAGCCCAGCCAGCCTACCCTCGGGAACGGTGGCGTGGCCTCCGGTGCCCCGGGCGCCTCCGTGCCCTCGCAGGACCACGACAGCAGGGCGGCCGTGCCCCTCATGTCCCTCATGGGAGGGCTCCCCCGGCTGGGCGCGCCGCTGGGGGCCTCGCGGGTTGCGGGGCCCGGCTCCAGCCCCGGGGCCACGTCGTCGCCCGGCCAGGACCAGCCCATCGGGATGGGTCTGCGGCCTTGGAACACCAAGAAAGAAGGCTCCTCGAATGACGTGGACACCAGGGGAGGCCAGGAAGACTTCTTCGACCCTCGTCGGGGACCTCTCGGCCAGGACAGGCCTTTCAACGGACCGGGTGATCGGATGGGTCCCATGGGCCCCATGGGACCGATGCACCGCGGCCCTGTGGACCATATGATGGAGCGTGCCATGTTGGAGATGAGGGGCAGCCCTGGTCACATGGATTCTATGGGCCCTATGCGGGACAGACTGGCTATGCTTGACGGCGAGAGGAACGGCGTCGGCCCCAACGGGGGTGGTGACATGTTCGGCATGGGTCCGGGAATGGGCCCTGGCATGGGCATGATGCCCATGGGCCCTCGTGCCGGTATGGGCCCTGGCATGGGACCTGGTCCTGGCATGGGCCCCGGCCCTGGCATGGGTCACAACGGGACCTTGCTCAACCCTTCCTATTTGAACCGAGCCGGCGGACCTGGTGGGCCTGGGGGACCTGGCGGCCCTGGCGGCCCTGGTGGGCCGGGAGGGCCTGGCGGCCGGATGCGCGGTGGCCCGCGCCAGAGTCGTTTTGAACCACTCCCTGGCGGACCTGGTGGACCAGGCGGGCCGCATGGAATGGGACAGCGCTTCCCCGATGTGTTCGACGTGCCGGACGATGATGACAATAAGAATGGCCTCGACCGCGGTAGAAGTGGCAGGGATGTGTCCAGCCGGGAGCGCGACAGAGGGGACCGAGACCGTGACCGCGGTCGCCGCAGTGACATGGACCGACCTGGAGACCGGCGGCGGAATGACCGTGACAGAGACCGTGACCGCAGTCGCTCTGACCGGCGCGACGACGACCGGAAAGGCTTCGCCGGCAAGGACGAGTTCGGAAGAGACATCGATCTGATCGGCAGGCGGCGGGGCAGTGCGGAAGGTTTGAGCCTTGGCCAGGGTGGCCAGCCCAATGACAAGCAGGAGCGCAACCTGTGCATCGAGGTTCGCAACATGAGTCGCAGCGCCACATTCGCCGACGTGCGCCGCTTTTTCGCGAACCGGATCATCCCCAACACCGGGCTGAAGCTCATCAACGACACCCATGGCAACCGCACGGGTATCGCTTACGTGCGCTTTATCCACAAGCGTGACTACGACGCGGCCCTGGAGATGTCCGGATCCCTGATGAAGAACGAGCAGGTGGAAATCCTGCCCATTCCCGACGACCTCTTCGACAAGGCCGTCGACTCTTACGTCCCTGGGTCGCCCACCCCCAAGCTAGACGAACCGCACAGCCTTTGCGTGCGCTGTGACGACTTGCCATTCAATACCAAAGAAGATGTGATTAGGCAGATATTCCAGGAGTACCAGTTTGACGTGGCACTAGAGGAGCCAAGAGACATGTCGTCACGGTCGGCCATTCTGAAGTTCAGGAGGATGGAAGATGTCAAGAAACTCTTCAATTCAGCTATCAAATTTTCCATAGAAGGTCGAGAAATCAAATTGTCAAGTTGTCCTGAGCATTTGTTCCATGAATCTCGATCAAACCAAAATGGACGATTAGAACATAATTTAGATGATTTTGGTTTGCGTGATTCCGCTCCAAGAAGCTTAAGAGATGAAAGTCCAATTCCCTCAATACCAACAGATGTATTACTTCTAAAAAATTTGCCACCTACAGTACGAGATAGAGATATCACAGATTTCTTCTCTGATGTTGGACTAGTCCCTCATAAAATTCACATGCTGGTGGACCCCTTTGGAAAGCCAGTTGGTGAAGCCTTTTGTGAGTTCAACGACGGCGTGGAAGCAGCGAAAGGATTGCGCAAGGATAGCACTCACATGGGAAAATTCATTGTGAATGTAAAACCTGTCTCTAGACCCGAAATGGGTGCTGTTCTCAATCAGCCTATGATGCCAACTGGTCCTATGGGAAACTTTGGCATGATGCAACCCAGAATGATGGGTCCTCGCCACACTCCTCTTCTTGGGGCTGTTCCGCAAGGGTTTCCAGGAAGAATACCTGAATTGCAAGATATACAGCCAGAGCCTTTCGGTAAACCAGGGTGTGTCATTCATTGTGAAAATGTTCCATTTCGCGCAGAGATTGAAGACATCCTAGAATACTTTTCAGGCTTCAACCTCACTAAAGAAAATGTAATTAGGAGGTTCAATGACAGAGGGTTGGCAACTGGTGACGCTAGAGTTGCATTAAATTCACCAGAAGAGGCACAGTCAGCAATGCAAAAGTTAAAGGGCAAAAAAATGTTTGGGCGACTTATTTGGTTGTCATTACTTTGATTGTGATGTCTCTTCCTATTTTTGTAAAGATTGCTTGTTAGTTACCTAGGGATTAAAAGCTGGATGTTTATTTGATTTATCACTGAAAACTGTAAATGTATTCTGTTATTTGTTGCTTTAAGTGTTTATATTTTTGCATCTTGAAGGTGACTGCACGTAAAAATTTTGTTGCTGAGCATTTTCGTTGAGTGTTTCCAATTCATTCATTTTATTTTAGTACCTAATTGTATATTATTTGTATTTCTTTTGAGAGTCAAATAGAACTGATTAAATTAATGTGTTGTTTACCTGCAGTAGCTGTTGTAAGGAGTATGACTCAAAATAAAATATCAAACTTGATCATTGAAAATAACAGTTTTATCTTTTTCATCATCCACACTGATTCGAAGGCATTCATCCTACCTTAAGACTAGTTACCACATCAGTCCACAAATTTTCATTTGAACAGAAAGCAAATGAAAATTTCAAAAATGACAGTTTTATTTGCCTCTAAAGAGTGTACTTAAGCTACACTTGCTTACCCAGAAAAATTTGTACCCCAAAGCATAACTTACCCATTCAATCAAATTCACATCAAACTTACAACAAAGTATGTGAAAACATCAATCAAAATTAAAAACAAGCTTATAGAAGAATAAAAAGAAAGTGTACTATGTTTTTTCTAAATCACATACACACAGCCCACTTACTAATAAAGGAATGTTTAAGACACCTGTAGAGGAGTTATGGGGAGGTCAGGTTCGCTATGAACAAGCAGTCACAAATCCTTTCTAAAGCGAAAAGAAAAAAAAAATTAGTTGTGACTACCTTATGTTTGGTAGCTCCAAATATTTTGACATTTTCACAATCTTAGCTATGGCAGAATGGCACAACTACCAAGTACAATTCTGTTCATCATCTTAGATTGCATGCATTGACCAACAAAAAACAACTTAAGATTCACAACTATATAAATACAGAAGTTAAAAACAAAAACAAACAAAAATTAATGTCTATCTAGCTCCTACCTTAAGAATAACATCTGTCTTAAGAAAATGACTTTCAAGGCAATGCTTTACATCAAATTGACTTTAAATAAACTTACAAATTCTTTCCTAACAACCAAAGTGCAAACCAAATTTCTAGAAAAAGAATAAATTAACAGTAATTCATCGGAGAAAGTCAAATTTAAAGTGAAGGGGGTGCTGTTGGTGATGTCTTAAAAGGGTAGACATTTTTAGGATCTGATAATTCTTAGATGAATTAAAATCACATCTACTTGGATAGCGTCCTCAGAACAACAAGTCTACCCAATACCAGACAAGTTACGACAGATTCAGCCTAACTCCATGTGCTGCCTGTAAATTGATGCAATTTCTAAAAAGTATATCATACTACACCATCAAAAATTAATATCATTAGATAAAAAAAACAACAACATAAAAGTAAGGGTTACTAACTAGATCACAATAATCGTCAAAAATAGAATTATAGAAATAAAAAAAATCTAGCACCTAAGTAAAATGCATTAAACTTAAACATAAATACAGTAAGATGTGTTTTGAAACACATTTTGTAAACCAACTTAATTTACACTTAAGACATATCCATCAGGATTAAGAATAGTCAGTAAAACCATCAAAATTCTTCAATACTGACCAGGAACATTGCTAAGAATGACTTAAACAGAAAAATTTATGCTACATGACTCTGAATATGGATGTTTTTCTTTTTCTCCGTTTCATTAAGAAAAGTAAAAGTTAATGAGACCTTCAGAAAATAAATTTACAAAAATTAGAAATCATAACAAAAGCAGTACTTTTAACAGATTGTGGTCCCATGCCCAAAATGCTCAGTTCAAGCTAAACAAAACTGACTGATTGGGAAAATGCACATTAACAGACAAACAGAAATTCTACAGGATGAAGCAAAGGAAAATGTGTTTCATTCATTCTAGGGAAAGAAACGAAAAAGTGAACTAGGGTTCACTATCTGTGTGTGACACGATCTCGATGATTCAATATATACAATATATCTGAGTTTTCATCTGAATCTTCTTCCTCGCTACCACTCATCAAAAACGCTGCAGGCATTTCACTTTCATTTGCTAATAATGGAGTTCTCATTTCATAAGAATGTCCAGTTTCATTAGATACTGGGGCAGGACGATCAGCTGAGGAAGACTTTGAAGAGGATCGAACCTTATGGGCAACATGAGCACAAATGCCTCCAAGACATAGAACTAAACCGACTACATTGACAGGGCTCATTTGATCGCCAGCCCACTCCACTGCTAACACCAGTGTAATCACCTCCTACAAAAGAAAAATTGTAGTGAAATAACATTTCATCATCTAATGTGTTGCCACTAATTGAAAAACAGAAGTAAAGAATTATTACCTTAAAGACACTAGCAATGGACAATGTAAGACTGGAAGTGCTGACAACCAGTAAATATTCAGATAGTTCCATTACAAATGCCAAAATAGCCCCTGCTACTACTTTCAATACTGTGGTTATGACTCTATGGCGCTCATAGGAGCCAAGAAGGAGACAACTGCTAGCAACCTGAGAACCTGGGGCACATGGAGGGCACAAACTGTTTATTTTTTAAGGAAAAAAAAAAAATTCCATTATATATCAGTAATTGTAAACATATACCTTCAAAAAAAGCTGCAAATGGGAGTACAGACAAAATCATCCATGGTTGTACAAGGTATACCACATCAAGGGGGTTCTGATGACCGGATTCAGTATGTTGCATAAAAACCTGTGCTAATGTCCATCTAATACCACTAAAATCAAAAAGAAAGGTTAAAGTTAATACCTAGACATATAATGTGTGATGAAATTTCAAAATATGTTTTAAACAACAAGAATTCTCTAGAAAATCTAGAATTTAAAATCTTACCTTAAAAAAGATGCTATAAGAACTAATACAAATCCAATAGCACTGAATTCCGTCGCCTTGTATGTAAACATTGTCAATCCTGATGAAATCAGCACCACAATCAAAACCAGGGACCATGACTGAAGATAAAACAAGATGTTCATAATTGAAGCAAAGGTGTTTCACAATTTCCATAGTTTTATTATTTTTGTACTGTTTAAAACATTACTTTCTTTCAAAATTGCAAATGTATAAACATACCTTTTTCTCCAAGTTGAATAAGAGGGAAAACAGAAGGATGAAAAGGACTGTTGTCGACTTTGTCATTGTATACCTGTGAAGCAAAATGAGATTAGTGCAGTTCAAAATGACAAATTTGCAACAAATGTATCAAGATGTTGAACAAAAGGCAATAAATTAAAAGTTAATTTTTATCCAGCTGATTACTTACAAAGAAACGGTTATAAGCTCTAGGCCCCAATTTGAGAGACCAACTTCCATTCCACTGCTTATACCTATAGGGGCCAGTCTGGATACATATTTTTTCCAAGGAGTCTGAAGGCGAGGCCATCCTGAGTACCACTCAAGAATTGATCTACATAGTGATGCTAGTACAAATTTAATAAATAGGTGGCACATCACAATAGACAGAGGGAAATGTAAGTCCTAAAGAAAAAAAAGGCAAATATATTCATGAAGAGCAAGTAAAGAATATAATAATCAGATGAGCAGATAGTAAGGAAAACTAATATTAAATACCTGGAGTAACGAACGTTGGTAAAACGTCAAGCCAATAGAAAGAGAAAAATAAAAAAGAATCAAAATGAGGAAGCGCATAAGAATCCATGTTGGCTTGTAACTTAAACTGAATGTGTCACTAGAGTTTGATTTTAATGAACTGGTATCACTTTCTTCAATGAATTTGTTGCGACTCATTTCACAGCCATGAGTGAATTGTCTCTTCCTTCACTGCCTGCAAACGTCAAAATATGAATGAAAAATCAACCAGATTCGTCTTATGGTAATAATTATTGGTCAAAAAGGGGTATTAGAACATGTTTACAGAAAGGCAAATAAAGTAAACAGATTGCAAGAGATAAGATGGTAAGAAGTTCAAAATTTCAATTTTAGAAACATGAAATAAAAGTGGTATAATGGAGAGTCATGGGTAAAAATTATCACAATTTCTGAGTTATAGAGGGAAAATATTGTAGTTTTAGAACAAAATTTTGTAAATTGTATCACCATAAGGTGACAGTCTTGTGGCTCATGACAGCCGACAAGTTGCTTTCGGGTGCCATGGTAAAGTAGCAGCATCGACGAAACTTGCATGCAAATAAGGTGACAAGATTGTTTAACAAAGGCGATAAAATTGTAGTCTTTCTGCGATTATTAATTAAAATCTAAATAACAGGACTAATTGAACTTACCTTCTGCTACACTTTTGCTTGTTGTCTGTGGTTTGTGTCGTTGTCGTTGTTGTTGTTGTGTTGTCAAATGTTGTGGCCTTCCACAAACGAATGAAACAATCTGTCACCCGCATCCGAAGTACCAACACATGGAGCAAACATCAAAATATGACGGTAGTGTTCAATGTGAAGTTCGTCATTGTACATACACAATTATTTTGTAATAAACTACACCTTAACTCATTAGCATCCAATCTTTATCGTTTAAATTCGTTATATCTGTCTACTTACTACTTTTTTGGTCGGAGATTTTGTCAGCATTGAGTGGAGTTCATCATTCGAATTCGAATTTGCGCCATTTGTAAAGGTTCTGTTCTGAGGCCCCAACAACCAAACCGACACAAATTTCCTTGTACACCCAGTCTTTTATGACTGAGAAAGGTAAACAATTTGGCAATTTCCTGCTGAATATCTTTGTATCGTGTCAGTGCATCCCTGTTTGGTAGTTCCCTAGTTTTCTAACATAAAACTTGTACTGTCAGTTTTGCCGCCAATTTATACCAAAACAATCACTAACCTTACTACTGTTAAATAGTCTCTCTTCTATTACTAGAAACTATTTGTTTGTAGCAGCTGTGTAAATTTATTTTTGAAATTGTTACCAACATTCTATTTCTTGTGGCATAGACCCAATTGAAATGCAATTGAACTGACTGTTATGCCTGTACCTCTTCAGGAAAATGTCCAACCGAAGAAGAAGCCGGGGGAAAACTCAAACAAGTGAGGATGACATAACATCTCCTGAGAGTGGACGCCAACCTCAGCCTCCTAAAAAGAGAAGCAAAGGAGCACCTGCTGAGGAAGAATCTTCTTCAGATGAAACGTCACCTGCAAGACGATCTCCTCCGAAGAAAGCAAAACCAGCTCGAGTTAGCAAGGATGGCGAGAAACCTGGAAAGTCTCCGTCTAAGAACTCTATAACACCAACTAAAGAGCAGACTCCTCAACAAGATGAAGAAATGGAAGTTGAAAGAAGAGGGAATTTTGATGATGACGAAATCTATTCAGATGAAGAAGGAGGACTTCGTATTGGGGACATTTACATCCCTCCTCCTCCCCCTGCCACAACTGGTACTGATTTGAATGGTCCACGTCTGATCATCACTCATATTGAAAATGAAAACTTCAAAAGTTATGCTGGAAAGACTGTATTGGGACCTTTCCACAAATGCTTCACATCTATTGTTGGCCCAAATGGTTCTGGAAAAAGCAATGTCATAGATTCAATGCTTTTTGTATTTGGATATCGAGCCAATAAAATTCGTTCTAAGAAGATCTCAGTTCTACTCCACAACTCTGACGAGCATAAAAATGTGCAGAGTTGCACAGTTGCTGTGCACTTCAAGATGATTATTGATAAGGTTTGATGGTTGATTTTATTAAATTTTAAAATGCACTTGCGCATTCCTTCTTGTTAATTTTCTAATATTTCTCCTTTCTTGTCTTTCAGCCTGGAGATGAGTATGAGGAAGTTCCTGGCTCAGACTTGGTGATTGCACGTACAGCTTTCCGAGACAATTCCTCTTTCTACACATTGAATGGTAAAAGGGTCCAATTCAAAGAAGTTGCCAAACTTCTTAGAGGTCATGGTATTGACTTGGATCATAATAGATTTCTTATCCTTCAGGTACTCTTGTTTTCATTATCTGTTACATCTATTTTAACTTTAGTCCTTTTTTCCCTCACATAATTGATATACATTCTAATGAATTTTCTCCTAGGGTGAAGTAGAGCAAATTGCCCTCATGAAGCCCAAAGGACAAACAGAACATGATACAGGTATGCTTGAATTCCTAGAGGATATCATAGGCACCTCTCGTTTCAAGGTGAGTCGAATTGTACTATCTGATTAAGAAATTTGTTCCGTATTCTTGCATGACACTCTTTGGAATCTCTTTTCCTTTTACTGTTTTAGGAACCCATAGATAAACTGAATGCTCTTGTTGAAACTTTGAGTGAGGATAGAACGGAGAAACTCAATAGAGTTAAAATGGTAGAAAAAGAAAAAGAAGCTCTAGAAGGTCCAAAGGAAGAATCAGTGAAAGCTTTGAAGCAAGAAAATCAGTATTCACAAGTTATGCATTTACATTGTCAGAAGTATATGTAAGTCCTTACCAGCTTAATACATTTTGCATAGAAATTTCTTTATTGCTTTCCTTATTGTAATCTTCTACTTTAGACGAAATTTGGAGGTAGAGCTGGAGATAAGTGAGGGGAAAAAGAAGGAATTGGATGAAGTTATGAGCAAAATCAATGAGGAATTGAAAGTTATACAAGATGAACTCAATGAGAAGGAGAAGGCCCAGAAGACTGAAACAAAGTAAGTCTTTTGAAACAATTTCTTGTTACATTGAGTACAGTTTAAAATACAGGCAATTCTCTTTTACTCTAGTATTGCTTTCATAATTAAGTGTTTTATCGCAGACAGATTCAGAAAATGGAGGCTCAGAAGACTGCTCTGAGTGAGCAGTTTGACAAGATCAATAATCAAGATGTCCAATTAGGAGCTTTCATCCAGCAAACAAACAAGAAACGAAAGAAAACTCAAGATCAGCTAGAGAAAGAGAAGGAAACGGCAAGTACAATTTTCTTATGTTTTTCAGTGTGGTATTGTCTTCTCATTCCTCATACATAGCATCCTCCTGGAACATTTTAATAAATAACAATAAATCCAATTTTAGCTGGAAGATTTGGAAAGGCTCCCTGAAAAAAATGAAAAGGAAATTGAGGAACTTAAGGCTTTGGAACCAAAATTAATCAAACAGCAAGAAAAAGAGCAGAAAGAAGTGGAAGCTGTGATGGCTACTATAGCTGTTGAAGCCAAGTCACTGACTGAGAAAAAAGATAAATTACAAAATCAACTTGTTGGTTTAACTGAGGCTTCCGATGAGCAGAGGTCTAAAGTATGATTCACAGTATTCATTGAATTTTTGATAAATCAACACATAATATGCACATGATACTAGCTTGGATCCTCATATGTTTTCAGTTGGATATTTCAAAGAAAGAGTTAGATTTGTATCTTATGAATGAAACTAATGCCAAGAAGAGATATGAAGATCTCAAGACTTCTTACGACACCCAAAAGGCAAAAATCACAGAATGTGAAAGAGCTGTAGGTGAATTGCCTCCTAGGATTGAAAAAATGGAAAGAGAGGTAAAATCAATGAGAAATGATCTTGCCAAGACCAATAGTGAAGTAGGAAAAGCTTCTGAAGAACTTCGTGAGAAAAGGTAAGATTTTAAGAACAACCATTAAGCCGAAATAATAAGTGTTTTGTTTTGTTTCTGCTTTGCTTTGCTTTGCTTTGCTTTGCTTTGCTTTGCTTTGCTTTGCTTTGCTTTGCTTTGCATTGCAGTGCAGTGCAGTGCAGTGCAGTGCAGTGCAGTGCAGTGCAGTGCACAGCACAGCACAGCACAGCACAGCATGAGGATCTGCCTGTGGCCGTTACTTAAACCTAGTATTTTTTTTTTAGTTTATGTACACTTTTTAACAACCTTTTGTCTTTATCATTTCTTAGGACAGCTTTTGAGGGTGTTAAATCAGACCGGAGTGCCAAGATTTCCCACAATGCTTGTCTCAATTACCTTATGGATTTAAAGCGCAATGGCACTATACCTGGAATTATTGGCCGACTTGTAAGTTTTGTTTATTTCCTTCTGCTTTAGAATTGCAGTGTTTTTTCTATTCAGACCTAATTAAATTAAAAAATAATCTTTTATCTATTTTAGGGGGATTTAGGTGGTATTGACCAGCGTTATGATGTAGCTGTTTCTACTGCTTGTCCTATGTTGGACTACATTTTAGTAGACACTCTTGAAACTGGTCAAAAATGTATAGACAGACTCAAAGTTGACAAAGTTGGCAGAGCCAACTTTATAATTCTAGAGAAACAACAACACTTCCAACACAAAGCTAATAGTCCAATGCAAACGTAAGGACTTAAATTAGTGTATTGTATCTTATATTGTTGCTTTCAGATGTTCATTTTACCAGTGTTAATCAATTTTGTTTACATTTGTAGACCAGAAAATGTGCCAAGGCTGTTTGATTTGGTTCGGATACGCAATGAAAATTACAAAACAGCCTTCTACTTTGCTTTGAGAGACACATTAGTGGCACAAGATCTTGACCAGGCATCCAGAATTGCATATGGACGGGTCAGACATCGAGTTGTTACTCTTGTTGGAGAAGTAATTGAAACGTCGGGTAAGACGGTCAAGTTTTGGGGATCTATTTGAATGCTCTCCCTGTGAAATCCTATTGATTGTTTCAAATGTTTTTACAGGCACAATGTCTGGTGGTGGGAGGTCCCAGATTCGGGGGAAAATGGGAAATGATTCAAGATCAGATGTTGTCATGTCAGATGGTGAACTCAGAGACATGGAAAGCAAAGTTGAAAGACTACAAAACCGTGAAAATGAATTGCTCAGTAAAATAGCAGAGCTAGAAAACAAAGTCAAAAACCATACTAGGCAAATTGCTAATGACAGAGACTCCCTTGAATTGAAATCACTAGAGCTACAAGTAAATATTTTTATATTGTCACTTTCTGTGTACAACATCCATTCTTGTGCAACTATGTAAACTTTTACTATTCTTTTTAGACTTTAACAAAACATTTGCCAGAAATGGAAGACATGATGAAAAAACAAGAAAAGATAGTGAAGGAATCTGTCTCTGATGCAAAGCAAGTAAAGACTCTGGAAGCCAAAATAGTAGCAATAGAAAAAGGTGAGTGAGAATAAAATACCAATTATTATACATCTACCATCAAGTACTTAATGTTCACATTTGGTGACATATTGTAGAACTTAAGAAAGCAGAAGAAGCAGAGGGGAAGGTCTCTAAAGAAGTGCAGTCAATTACTAATGAGATAGAGAAGCTAACAAGTGGTCGAGTGCGCAACGCACAGAAAAAATTGGATGATGTTTCAACTCAACTGAATAAAGTTCGTTCTGAGATTACTCGCCTTGGAGTAGCAATTAAGACAGCAGAAAGGTAAGTGATCCATTACTTTTTCACTAAAGTACACTCTAATTGAAAATACGCCTCCACTAACATTCTGCTTATGAATACTTAATTGTTTTCTAGGAATGCCAAAAAATCCAAGGATAAGATCAAGAACCTCACAAAAGAAATAGAGGATATGAAAGAGAGTCTGGCAAACATGGTCTCAGATAAAAACAAAATAACAGAGGAAGGTGCAGAAGTTTGCAAAATGTTGGAGGCCATCAATGTAAGTATTACTGCACAAGCCAGTACAGTTAACATTCTTTCAATTAATTTAAGACATTGTACAGAATCATATTTTATTTGATTCACTGTTTAATATTTTTTTTAGGATGGTCTTCGTGAGAAACTTGACCAGATGAAGGGGTTTAAAGACGAATTAGATGAAATTCGCAAAAGAGAGACCCAGCTCTCAAGCAAGAAAATGGATGAAGATCAGACTCTTAAAGCTGTTGAGCAGCGTATGAAAGATAAAAAAGCGGCCATTGGATTCACAAAGAATAAGGTATTGTGATCAATGACTGAAGTTCTAAAAATTTAGTGTTTGTATGTTACTGCATTGTTGTTTTTTGTTTTTGTTTATTTTTGTTTTAATGGCCTCTACTTTTTTTGTTTTGCAGATGGTGAAGTTAGCATTACATGTAATTCCTGGATCCGACAAGCGTGATGAATTTGTTACGAAAACGCCAGAGGAATTAGATGAATTGGATGCAGATAATTTACAGTATGAAGTTGCAAGATTGGAAGGTATCATTACCAAAAATAAACCAAATATGGGTGTTATTGAAGAATATAATAGAAAGGTAGGAAATGGTTCAGGTCTGTTATTCATTTTTATTTTATTTTTTATCTAAGTAGATGTTTCTTCATTCATTTTAGGAAGCCCAATATCTGCAGCGGGTTAGTGAGCTGGAGGCCATCACTGCTAAAAGGAATGAAATCCGAGCACACCATGAAGAGGCAAGGAAGAAGAGGTCTAATGAATTTATGGCTGGCTTTACAACCATAACTGGAAAGTTAAAGGAGATGTACCAAATGATAACACTTGGAGGTGATGCTGAGTTAGAACTGTGTGATACTCTCGACCCATTTTCTGAAGGCATTGTTTTCAGGTAAATTGTTGTGCTGGTTTAAGAAGATCAGAACCTCAAGTTAACTTCAGCAGTAAAAGTTTAAAAATTGATCTGACTTTTGCAGTGTTCGTCCACCAAAGAAGTCATGGAAGAATATTTCAAACTTATCTGGTGGTGAAAAAACATTGTCATCTTTAGCTCTTGTGTTTGCACTTCATTATTACAAACCCACTCCTCTGTATGTGATGGACGAAATTGATGCAGCTCTTGATTTTAAAAATGTATCAATTGTTGCAAACTATATAAAGGTTGGTTTGTGTTTGGTAGCAATTTTATTCACTTCCACCAAGGTCTTTAAATTGTATTTTTAAACTTTGTTGCAGGAGAGAACAAAAAATGCCCAATTCATTATCATTTCCCTACGTTCAAACATGTTTGAGCTGGCTGACACACTTGTTGGCATCTTTAAAACCTTCAACTGCACCAAAACGGTCACACTGAATCCTAAGTTCTATGGTATCATTGATCCAGGCCGGTTACTTTCAGCTCACGACAATGAAAAGGTTTGGATTCACACATTTCTTCATATGATTGTTTGTATTGATTCTCAATGTCCTAAGTTGTTTTTTTTCTTTTTTTTTTTCTTTTACCCATCTAGACACCCCCAAGAAAAGGAACAGTTGTTTCTCCTGACTCCTCTGGGAGGGCAGGTCACGTACAACCTATCTCCCCAGTATTACCCGATCCTAGTGTGTCAGGATCTCCAATTTTGGGAGAAAGGGACAATCTTGTGTCAACTGTTTCATAACTTTAGTTATTAAATGTGACTGTTTATACAAACTGTAGATTTTGTACTTCTTGATAATATTTTTTTATTCTCTTCATATTTACATTGTTAATATTATTCTAAAACAAATGGTATTTGTAAGTTTTAAAGTGACCATTTATTATATGCATTTTATTCTTGTATTTCTTTTCTGACTAATTAAAAATAGTGAAATGTAGATTCTTTTTTAAGTCAATGAGGTTTATTTCTTTGTTACTCCTATTTGCCTTTGTACCTCTTCTTGGATTTTTGCAATTGTAATGGACTCTGCGTGTGTCATCTTTGGGCACTCTAAGAGGCCTTGTCTGATGCAGCGTTTGACTTCGTTGGCTTCATAACGAAATCCGGAACTATTTCTATTAAAATATGGGTGTGCTCCCGGGGGAAGGGGGAATTCTTTGGTAACATTTCCACAAACAACTTTGGTCGGGCACCAGAACGGGTCAATAATCTGTAATAGACAGGCCAAAGGTTTATATGCTGCAGGTTTCTCTGCGGTGGAAGGGTTGTCCTCAACACCAACTTACCCTGATGCAGCCCTTCGTGCCCCAGATGAAGGCATCGTTGTTCATGTCAGCGAGGGCAGACGTGCCCAGGACGGCTGTTTTGCCGCCGGGGTACTTGAGCGCGATGGCGGTGGCGTCGTCGCAGCCCGTCTCGTTCAGGTGGCCGACGGCTGCTATTGCCTCGGGCATGCGGGAACCCAAAACCATCACTACGAGCTGCAGGACGTACACGCCGAAGTCGAGGATGGTGCCCCCACCAAGGTCCTTGTTCCTGTTGGGTGAGCTCTTGTGAGATACTCTTCGTTAAAATTCGATCTCGAAAGTCCCGCCACTCACCTTATGCGAGAGCCTTCTTCCTGGAGGATGGTCATGTTGGCGTTGATTTGCACCACGTCACCTATCGTACCGCTCTCGAGCTCCTGGCGGACGTACTCGTACACAGGGAAAAATCGACTCCATATGGCCTCCATGAAGAAGACCTTCTTGCTGCGAGCCAACTGCGGAGAGATAAAAATTAACATTGTGATCTTATAGATATATAGGCTGAGAAATATTCTTCGTATCCAACACACCTCAATGAGTTCCTCAGACTCCCGCACAGTCAGGGTCAGCGGCTTCTCACACAGCACGTTCTTGCCATGGTTCAAGTACATTTTGGCCATCTTGTAATGCTCAGTACAGACAGAGCCGATGTACACAATCTCTGAGATGGGCATGGAAAACTTCTGTCATAAAAGCATCTAAAATTGGCTTGTTGTTAAAAACTCAAGTGATTCTTTACCAATGTCTCTGTTGGTTGCCAGCTGCTCGTAAGATCCGTATGCCTCGGGGATCTTGTGCAGCTTGGCGAAGTCCTTGGTCCGCTGGGGGTCCCTACCGGCGACAGCGACCACCTCGTGCTCCCCAGGGGGCAGGGTGGCCAGGGCGGTGAGGAAGTCATGACAGACCTGCCCTGTGCAGGCGATGCCCCATCGAAGTGCCATTCTGAATGTGAAACAATCGTGAAGACGTTTTTATTTGAGCCAGCGTTGGTGAGCTTCCTATAGACCCTTCACGGCGTGACCATCTTCCTCTCACCTGTCTTTACTTTTCCCCCGAAAGTATTTTCTTCAGATCCGCTCCGCGTGGGTCTTCCCTCGGTTGTGCGCTAGCTGGTGTGAGTGCCACCGCGCTGCTGACAGTGGATGTCGTCGGGAAAAATAATACTACTAGCGCCGCCCGATATTCTAAATCGAGCAGGGAGTGGAAGAGGTCAGAGGTCGTACCCCCCGTCGATTTGTTTTTCGGGTGGGGGCGAGGATTATCAGTTTGATAGTGCTTTCCTTTCCATCGTTTCTACAATTCAACGCGCCCTGTCTGATGCCCTCTCCCCCGCGAATAGTGATAGTGCCGGAGGGAAAGGCAGATTGGATTGGACGTCGGAGAAAGCTCAGTCGCAGCTGGTCGCAGCCCACGCAACACTCGCCGGTCTTATCGCCGGAGGAGACGTGTCGTGTTGTTGTTTTCGCGCTCTTTTTTTCAAAACGACGTTTAATCAAACGCTGATTAAGAAAAGCATCACGATGGAATATTTTTCAATGCTGAAATGAGTCTGCCCGCATCATGTGCCTTTCTCTCGATAGTCGATATTTTGCAATTTATTCCGCCTGATCCCCCTTTCCCTCCCCCTTTTCCTGCGTTCCCTTCTTTTCCACGCCACCACTACTTTCTCGTGTGACCCCCAACGCTATCGCTGGGGGGGGGGGGGGGGACGATACAGTGTAGGCGCGAGAGGGGGGGGGGGGGGGGGGGGGGGTATCCGCTGCGGGGGGCAGCCCGACCCCTCGGCAGACCGGGGTGTGCATATAACCCTGCAGCCAGGATGGACAACGCCCAGTTCGCCCCGAGAGTCCCAGAACGTCGTCAACCTACCCACCCAGCCACTGACACCATGGCTCCCCTCATGATGGAGGCCCTGCAGTACGACCGCAAGGCGTTGGCGCTGAAGCACACCAAGGTGGAGGTGCCCACGGGCGCGGGCAGGGACGAGGTCATCCTCAAGATCGCCTACGCTGGAGTGTGCGGCACGGACGTGCACATCATCGAGGTGAGTGCTAGCCTCGCCGGCACGGCCGAGGTCCGGCTTAGGGAGGGGCGAGATCTGCTAGGTAGCACAGCGGCGGCGCCGCGGCACCCCGCGACCAGCGCGACCTCCATGTTGACCCTCAAGAGGTCGTCCAGATGGCACTCGCGTTTTTCTCTCATTCATTCGGCAATAAATGGGTATAAGGACAGTAGCCCAACCCGGGTCTGAGCCAGGACTCCTTTAGCTCAACCAATGCCCGATGTGAGCACGCCAAGAAATGGCCTGGGTTCCAACCCAACTCGTCAGGCTGGGCAAATGTCGGGCTCATATCGGGTGCCAGTTGGGACTCAAGTGATCCGGGCTCATGTCGTTATACCCCAAATTAAATCACGGGAGCTGGGCGGGCGCCTGCGAGACTCGGGGTAGGCTACCCCGCTGCACACGCATGCAGTGTAGGGGAGATGTTGCCTACCCGCCAGGCGCTATAAGAGCTCTGTGGAGGCTCAACTTGGCAGGTTCGTAACGGTGAATTCAGGGCACACTTTCCTCCGCAGCAGCGAATGTTGGGTTACTTCGATTACTTATTTCTTCTGGTCATTTGGAGGGGAGAGAGGGGATCGTAATTTTATTTGCGCCCAAATTCAGTGCGAAAATGTGGAAGTCCATAGCGCCCGTCCCACACGAGGCATATTAGCCGTTCCCGCCACGATGATCCCAAAGAGATGTCCCGTGATTTTTGCACGGGTGGCTTCCTTGCCTGTGAATTAAAACGCTGGGGTGTTATGGTGGAGTTCGTTCTCAACGGCGCGCATTTCTTTTTCCTCAGGGCCGAGTGCCGTGCAAGGCCACGCCGTTCGTCATGGGCCACGAGATGAGCGCCGTCGTGGCGGAGGTGGGCAGCAACGTGTTCCACTTGTCCGTAGGCGACCACGTGGCCGTGGACCCCAACCGCACCTGCCACACCTGCCACGTGTGCACCTCGGGCATGTACAACGCGTGCCAGATCTCGCCCACCGTGAACACGATCGGCATCATGCGCGACGGAGCCATGGCCCAGTTCTGCAGGGTGCCCGCCGACCAGGTGTACAAGCTACCCAAGGACATCTCCCTCCGCCAGGGTGAGTTTCAGTTGGGCGCAATGACGGTGTGCTCTTTCTCAAGGTCATGGCGATGTCGCTAGGGGCGTTAATCTGGGGTCAACTTTGATGGATTTTTGGCGCGATTGTTGCTTACTCTGCCACAATCCCGGGGCGATCTGACCAATCTGTGATCTGCCTTCCCTCTCAGGCGTCCTGTGCGAGCCCATGTCCTGCGTCGCGCACTGCTGGGACCGGCTCGGCCCCATCCCCATGGGCTCCACCATCCTCGTCACCGGCGCCGGCATCATCGGCAACCTGTGCGTCGCGTCCGCCTACTACATGGGCTTCCGTGACATCATTCTGTCGGAGCCCAGCGAGGGCCGTCGCGCCATCAGCAACAAGCTCTGCCTCGGCGACAGCGTCAAGGTGGTCAGCCCCGACGAGCTGAAGGCCATGAAGGCCCGCGACCCCAACTTCGGCGTGGACGTGGCGATCGACTGCAGCGGCGCCGTGCCCGCCCTCGAGGCCGGCTTCGAGCTGCTCAACCCCGGCGGCAAGCTGGTCGTGTTCGGCATCGCCGCCCCCAACGTCAAGATGAGCATCTCGCCGTACGAGGTGTACAAGAAGGAGCTGACCGTCCTGGGCAACACAATGAACCCCTACACGTTCAACAAGTCCATCGGCTTCGTCTCCGGCATGAAGGACATGTGAGTGACATCTGATGTACATGCAAAGAAGCTCGCGTTGGGATTCGATTTGGCCTAATATCCCCTCTTTTTTCAGGCTGGCCTACGAGAAGCTGGGCGTCGGCACTTTCAAGCTGAGCCAGTACCAGGAGGCCGTCGATCAGCTCAAGAAGGGCACCATCAGCAAGGCCGTCTTCGAGATCGGGGTTTAAGCACCGCTAGTCAAATCACCTTCATTACCCTCACCACCCTCCTCCACCTCCAACTCTCATTGAATTGTACAAAAAAATAAAAAAATATTCATAATCTCTGTGCTCAGAAAACGTCTTTATTTATTCTTTCTCTGGCGTTGCGCTGTCTGTTTGCCGAGTCGACGCACTTGATGCTGTGATCCCTCTTATGCATGCGCACTGGATTTCTTAAAGATAAGGGCGCCCGTGATGCGACCCCATGGAAATAGTTGTACCGCATCATCCTGCTGCTGACGTAACGTCTCATCCCGACGGCTCGTCCTCGGAGGTGAACGTCTGTCCTTTATCGCGGGCGTCGCCGCGACCCTGTTTGCGCTGCGTACAGCCTGCGTACGGACTGCGTAGGCCCACTGAGCGAGAGCTAATGATGGTCCATGGTGTACCCTTATTGAACCGTC